TATATATATATATATATATATATATATATATATATATATATATATATATATATATATGTAAAATGCAACAATAACATTTGAGATAATATTAATATTTTGCCAGGTATGCCTAGCAAAAGAAGCAGGTCTTTTGTATGCAACTTTAGCAGTAGCAACAGATTACGACTGTTGGAAAGACTGTGACGATATTGTTCATGCGGCCGATGTTATAGTCATATTTAAACAAAATGTTGCTAATGTGTGGGACGTGTTACAAGAAGCAGTAAAAATAATTGGTTCGGAAGATTGGGAGCAAGATATTTCTAAAATTAAGGTAATATTTATTATTAATCATCATCAGGTACATTACCTAGTAAATCTATTTAGTTATTACTTTAATATGTTTTTTATATGCATTAGGAAATAATAAAATACAAATTATTTTCAGGCACTAGTCCAAAGCAGCAACGTATCGAGTAGCTAGTATTATACTAGGATGGAGTACAAACATGGAGTTTGTATTTGTGAAATGAAATGAAGAAACTATGTGCCACACAATTTTTAAATATATAAGACAGCATATTTGATTTTAAACCGATTTGAAATGCAGCTAATAGTCCAATAAGAGAATTGAGAACTAATAAAGATTCTTAAATCACAGCTCCTGTGTGAACCTAATTGTTAACAAAACAATAGAATAAGATATAAAATGAAAGCCTATAAAAACTAGCTTTATTGTTTTGGGAACTAATAAAAGATAAACTTTCTATTAGCTATGTTTCAAATTGCATAGAAAAAAGATCCTGTAACCTAGGTGAGAACTACTTTCGACAAGGGTTTGAGGATCTAAAACTATTTTTTCTTAAATATTGCCATTATTATTTATAAAATTATATATAATTGATGGCTGGCGGATGACCCAAAATGGGCGAAGTTCTTTCAGAACAAAAAATTTCACCCGAGTATAATTGGCATCGAAAAGGTTCGGTTTTTTTTGTGACTTTCGGAATGCATCCGTCTTGTCCAATAGAAAAATTTGTTAGTCAATAAGAGAATTTTTCCATTGGACATGACGAATGCGTCCCGGATCATAAGAAAAAACCAAATAACTTTTCCGACGTCAATTGTACCAATTTCTGAACGGCGCGAAGTGCAGTTTCCGGGTGAAGTTTCCGAATATATCTTAAAGTTGGGTATTCGCTGAAGGAACGAACAAATAGCGAAGGTGTGACATATTTGTGTAAACCTTATACTCAAATTTTCTCTAAATCGTATTATAAGTGAATCGAATGCAAACAAGACGTTCTGTTCGAATTCATCAAGGCATACCAAGTTTTTTTAATCGTAAGACAAAAGTTTGCATCTGTTGTTCATTCGCTCAGTGGTTACCCAGCTTAAGATATATCAATATATTATAATAAATTTTATATCATTCCTGACAAGTATATGTATACAGGAACTTTTTATATATGGATTTTTATATATGGATTTTTTATATATGGATTCATTACTTGTGTAATAATTTTTATAAATACTGAGTATCCTTCTATAAAATAGGCATGGATATGTCCATTGTTGCCTCTTGCGAACGGCATCTCTGTGTTATCTATGGAGAATCCCGAAAGTCTTCTGTGTTCAACTATAAAATATAAATACAATAAACAATATTTATACAATGATATTAATAATGTTAATAATGTTAATAATAATAATGTAATAAACATTTAGCTATTTACATAGAGATTTTTATTTTATTGTTGTAGATCTTACTTTGTGCTTGCTTGCTTCCAACAAGAGATTAACCAAATCCTCAATTAAATTTTTAATTACATCCAACTCAACGTTCAGCTTCTCTGCAATAAGCACAAAACAACAGAATATTAAGTAATAAAGTTAATTATGAAGTTATTAAGTTTTATTAAAAAATTTACAAACAAAATAATTTATGTACAACATTTTTTTATATATTTGGTGCCTTATCATGCATTGATATTTATACTTTTATTCTATAAAAATATTTACAATCCTATAATATACTATTTTTCATTTACAAGAAATTTTTTTGTTTTTCATACAATAATTAGTATTTTTCATGCCTTGACATTTGTACTTACTATATAAAAGTATTTACAATTGTATGAAACCAAATAGAAAAACCACAAGATTACATTACGTTAGTATTCAGCAACTTCTTAACATTAAGGACTCTTATTTTATTGTAAATTCTTGATAACATTGCTTCTAAATATAGTTTATAAACTTTCTGATCGGCTCATAAGAACATTGAAAGGTACTTTTATTAATAAAAGAAAGATTAGAAAGGAGATCTAATAAAGTTATTAATATTTTCTATTTATATACAAATTATTTATTTTTATTATTTTTGAACATGAACATAAAACTATCTGATACTGATAGATATACTACTCTGATACATCGTTGACGCTTTTTTAAATAATCAATAAATAACAAATGTATATTGCGTACGTTTAGAAAATTCTAATACTTTTAGTACATGATATGTTGAAATTGTCGGTCTGCGTCACATTTTGAAAGTAGCAACAATCAAATACTCACGAGCAGCAGCATTGTACTAACCTTGACTTTTGAGCGACTTTGGCGTGGTTTTTTCGGTCTCGGCTCACCTTTGGCACGATATTCACTCGATTGGTCGGTTGTTTCGGGATCGTAAGCGTAGATCGAAGTCTCATCTCCAGTGATAATGCATTTTGTCTTGTCAATGTAGTCGGAAAGCATTGCTTTACACACTTCAACGCGGCGCCTTTTTTCAAAAAAATTCAATGATTTTGGTACCAGTCGAGATTTGACGCGTTTGAGAGCCAACACATCCTTCAAAATGGAATTGACCGAGCCTTTTGATATGCCAATCTCATCAGAAATGTCTCTAATGGTTAAACGACGGTTTTCCAACACCAAATCTTTAATTTTTTGGACGTGAGCTTCGTCGGTTGCGGTTGATGGTCGCCCAGAACGCTCCTCGTCTTCAACACGTTCTCGACCTTCATGGAAGTCTTTGTACCACTTGTAAACATTTTTTTTCGACATAACCTTATCGCCAAAGGCATTCTGCAGCATCCGCAACGATTCTGCAGCAGAAATTTGATTCCGCAAACAAAATTTAATACAAATTCTTTGCTCAACAAATGTAGACATGGCAAAAAACGAGAAATTCACTTTTAGCAGCTCACAAAACAATGCGTATCTCAAACACTAATGGATATTTTGACGTGTTACTTCTCTTGGATGTCAAAGACAGTCCTACCAACCTAAAAAAAATTTTATTCCTCCAAATCCGTGCGCGCGGGAGATTTAAAATGCAATGTCACCTTACTTTCTGGACACAGTAGTATACTTTAATATTTGGGCTATTTTGCAGATAATCCAAGGTTAATCTGCAAAAGTCTTGTAGAACTGCGAAAATCACAATTACGATTATTTCTTACGACTTTCTCGTAGTGAAATATAAGTTTAAACATTGACAAATGATTTGCCCGTACCTGATGGTGATTGTTCTGTTAGAAAGAATACATGCTTCTTGTGATCTGACCAGTGTTAGCAGCATTTTTTATTTAAAAAAATGCGTTGCTTATTAAACGGGATTGTTTAATTCAAAATAAACAAGGAAGATTAATATTTATCTAACAATTTCTGAAGATGGATAAAAATGTACTTTTGAATATACGGAGAAAGAGCTACTCTCTGAGTCAATGGCGATTGATGTCTCCTTTAAACTCTCCTTTAGAAATCACAACCTTCCTTCAGCGCTTTTCCCACTTCCTGAAGCAGTCCTAGAACTCAGCTTTACCTAATAGCTGCCTCAACTCATTATGTTTTATGTCCTCATCGTCAAATCTTTGCTTTTAAGGGATTTTTTTATTTTGGGATCAATCAGAAGAGTCACGTGGAGCTGTATCAGGACTAGACAGACTTAGAATATGCCGTGTTTCGTCAAAAAATCCTGGATAATGTGAGATGAATGGGCAGGTGCTGATCTCGTAATGCTATTGGATTTTTCAAATTTGAAAATAAATTAGAGAGTTTAATGAAACATACACAATATATATATATTAAAGAGAATTCCCGACACCTCGACCCTTTCTGAGCAAATGTTCGCATTCGTAATTGAACGACTACGTGAACCGACACCATGAACAAACGCGTTTGCGTGATTAACAAAACGAATAATTGCTTTCGGAGCACTAAGTGTCTTTTGAATTGTATTATGATTAACCAGCAAAATTGCTTCTTCTTGCTTTTGTAATACCAGTGTCTATTTTTCTTTTTCTGCTCCGCTATTTTCTACGCGCATATACTTCACTAAGGTCACTACGGCGAAAAAGAGTTTTCGCTTCTCTTCGTATACTTACAGTAGTATGTTGTTGCTACAATATTAGATAAACTAAGACCATTTATCGATATTGTTGTACCCGTTTAGTATATCCAAAGATGTCGTCAATCATTCAATTTCCTACAGTAGACTGCCGATTTTACACCAGAATAGTTGTACTTATAGAATATCTTCCCTGGTAAAAAAATTTATAGAGAATGATAGAATAAAAATAACTATTTTCTATCGTTTTGAATATGGATTTTGATTCGTGAATTTACAAAATGTAAATAGTATTCTATCGTATACAACAGAATACAATAGATATAGTGATAGAATTTCTATCGTTAGTTTCCGATAGAATACAAAATCGGGTATAACATTTTGTAAATTCACGAACCAAAATCCATATTCAAAACGATTGAAAGTGGTTATTTTTATTCTATCTTTCTTTATACATTTTTTTTACCAGGGTTTATATATTAAACCTTAAATTCTCTTCCTTTATAAATTTTCGATAATCTATCGTATAGCTTTGCACGAAGACTCATGTAAACTATATAGAATTTTATGAAGATAAAATAGCTAATTTAATTGTGAGTTGCTTTATAAGTAAAAAAATAAAAAAGTAGAAAGTTCATTAGTTATACATACTTTACTATCCAGGTAGCAAGGTGACGTTTAAAGACGTCATTAAAATGTAATTAATGACGTCTTTAGACGTCACCTTGCTACCTGGATAAATACGTTTTATTACCGATTATTACCGATTATTTTATTATCAATTATTACCAATTATTTTATTATGATTGTTTAATATTGGGAAGAGAGAGAGAGAGAGACAGACACACACAATTGAACTTAATATTTATTATTTCTACAATTACATTTACCTATACAATTCACAGAAGTCAATGGACTGTATGATCATTTTTTTAGACATATCTACACATTGAACTGTCAATATATCTTTTTTTTTATTACATGCCAGTATTCACTTCTTCGTTATATGGGCTTAAGGGATAAACAGAGTGTGTTCGGTATTGTCATCAATTTCTGCTAGGACTTATACTTAAAACATTATACACATTGGTCTGCATGACTTCGCAACTCAAAATGTAACATACGAGAGTTCGGTAATATATGATATCGCGTTATACATGAAACTTTCTCTTATATACAAGCAATTTACATTATGATCAACTTGGGGGTTTACTTTTTGTTTCAGCAACGTGAATTATTTCCAGCGAAAGTATCTTTATTATACAGGGCGTCTCCGAACAGTCTACGAAGCGCTCATAGAGACATAAAGCGAATTGAGATAAACATAAACATCTTATGTTGTTTTGCAATATTCGTAATAAATTTTGAAGTATTAATTAAAGAAGATTAGTAAATGATCACGTAATATGGTAGATGCGTTGTCATGTGTTTACACATTAGATCAAATTAAATAAGTCTCTTATTATTTTATAAATAACCACGTAGATTTTTAGTTACTAATGAAAGAAAATTGTTACACGATTGTGTGCTATAATACATAAATCTTATTTAATTAATAACTAAAAATCGATGTGGTTATTTGCAAAATGGTAAAGAACTTTCTTGTTTAGTTTTTATTCAGTACATTATTCTTCTTTAATAAATATCTCAAGATCTATTGCGAATATCGCAAAACGATATGGAACTTAAGTTCACTTGAATCCGCTCTACGCCCTCACGAGCACTTCGTAGACTGTGTTATGGGACACCTTATTTATATTTATATATATATATATATTTTTTTTTTTAATTTAACATAATGTACATGTGGTATTTGAAATGTTCATTTTGTGCAATTCTTAACATCATCGGTTCAAAAGTAGATAAATTCAACTTATAAGTCGAATGAAAAAGTGGTGAACGGAAAAAAGAACACAATTAGCTTACTGTGAGTGATTATAATCAATAACAAATAAACTTCATTCTATATTTCTTGATATAAATGATCAATATTGTTTCTTTGGGAGTCAAATTCGGGAGTTCAAAAAGAAAAACTCATTCTCTCCAGCTTGTCAAACACATGATGTTCCTGATAATTACATTTTCAATAAATGTGCTATTACTTTCAATCCGTTAAAGTATTTGATCACTGTATTAAAATATTTTGTTATTAATAGGTGTGGCATATACTTTGATATTGAAACTCAAACGCTAGATGATAACGTGACATAACCGATTTTCCATACAAATAATTCCGTAAAGCTACCTGCATATAAACGAATATATATATATATATATATATATATATATATATATATA